GGGGGGGGAGGGTGCGCTCTAACGGGGACAGCTGAGAGTGCCCTTTTACATTGGTTGTCCACATAAAAGTGCTTTCATACCTTTCCTCAGCAGACAGAGGGTGGGAGTCAGGAAACGGAGCAGGCTGCAGGACTGGACAGAAAATTGTTCTCTTCCATTCTCCTATGATGCTAGAGTGGAGCATGCATGTGACGTAATTGGTTGGTATGGCGCCTGCGGTGCTAGCAACCAATGACTGCAGAGGCAGGGGCAGTTGACATAATTGGTTGTTAGGGGGTTGGCCGTCCTAGCCACTAATGACTGCAGAGGAGGGTGCGGAACCTGTGCAGGGTTATGGCTGCCTGGCAGTGGATATACCGGCCTTGGAGAATCTCTGAGGATGGCATATCCTGTCAGCCGGCCAGACATAACCCAGCGCAGGTGCATGATCATGGGCCAGGCAGAACAGTCACTTGGTCCATGTCGCATTGCAGGCCACAATTTAGTGATCCCTGCTATATTCCAATCAGAAAAAAAAGATAAAATGTAGTTACCAAAGGATAAATAAGAATACAAAGTTTTTTTTTGGAAAATCAAACCTCGCTTGCAGACCTGGCTCGCTTTAATAAATATTCTTAATAGCATCATTGGCAAAGTCTCTGCACTATAATTTAGTAATATCAGATCACGCTGTGTGCTTTTGTAGTATCATATGCATTTTACAGCTGCTTAAACAAAACAAAATCATGAATCTACATTAAATTGATTGCATTATTAAAAGGTTACAACTTGGAAGAAATAAAATTAATGTCACATTTTAGAGTACATAAAAAGCAGCAAACATTTTACTGGCAGTGTGTTTATTGTGAGTTTACTTAACAATAATAAAGGGAATTTATACTTCATCACATTGCTTCATCTGTCTGTGTATTATCTGTTTCTTTACTATCTGTTGTGTCAATGTATAAACCATGTTCAAATATTCAGTGCAACTATATTCATAAGTCACACATTTTTAGCTAGGTTTAAAAGGCAGGCTAAACTTTTACTATAATGGTTTACAGAAAAATGCAAAAGTGATAGAACAACCACTTTCTAACATATAATAATAAAAAAAAAAAGTGGATTCAGAACTGGCTTTTTGGGACCGGAAGGGTAGCATTCAGCACAGATACTTTTGGCACTAAGTGAACCTGTGCTTTACCCTTGCGAAGATAAGCAAAAGGTTTCGTTTAGTAGTAACCCCACAAGCAGCACATACTCACCTTTCCTTTGAGCCCCCAACACTCATGGGGCTCAAAGGAAGCAAGCATGTGACTCTCACTACCCATTCTCCCCATGTGACAGCAATGGTGCTTGATGATTGGCTGTTCAGGCACCCAATGCTGTCACATGGAAGCAAGGAGAGAGGCCTCAGCTTTGTGTAAGCTTCAAAACATAACGGAGGTTCATACAGGGGTTGTTTTTATCACTGCTACCAATCAAACCTAAGTTGTGAAGGAGCAAACAGAAGATAAGCATGTGTAGCTCATGGGGCAGATCAAGCACATAAAGGCAGGATTTATTGTGATCTAGGCAGGGCATACTATAAAACAAGGGAGAGGCTGCCACATAGTGATACAAGCAGGTGGAGAGAAAGATACATAGTGATAGAGATGGAGGACAGAATGTACAGTGATCCAGGCAGAGGGAAGACAGACATATTGTGACACATACAATGAGGACACATAGTGATCTCAGCAAGTGGAGGTCATGAGATAGAGAGATCCAGGATGGAAGAGATCGTGGGAGATAAAGATATTTGGGGGCGGGAGAGTTTAAGGAAATATTGTCACAAGTGGAAAGAACAGATATTTAGTGATCACAGCTGGTGGAGGGCTGAAGATATATAGATCTAGGGAGGAGGAGGACAAGAGATATCGAGATTTAGGCAGGAGGAGGGCAGAATATATTGTAACCAACATAAAG